TTTGCTGTGTCTGCAATCGTGAAGCGCAACGTCACTAATCCGAATCAATTGCCCAAGGACTCTGCACAAAGGTTATGAATGCAACCAAACAGGAAACTAGTTTGTTGTATAATGCATAACTCGTCTGAATGACTCCCTTGCTATCGATCCGTCTTAGTCATATTGCTAGATATATATATATACTATATCTTATAGATGATCTAATATAAGCTCATGGAAAATTGAAGCTTACGAATCAGGCGAGGGGAGAGAGAGAGGCGTGCCCACTCGTAAAGCCAATATATCCGTTTCTATTCTTGGATCTAGGAACGCATAAAACGCATAGAGACTTGAAATTTGGAATAAAAAGGTATTAATTTTTTTAAGATATTGAAATTTGTAATAAATAAGTATTTCCTTTTTTAAGATATTCCATTCCATTTACTTAGTATAGATTCAAATCAACATTTCTACTAGTCTTTTGAAGAATAACTTAAAGACTTCGAAATGTATTATGTAGGCCCTTAAATGAAATTCTTAGATATATAGATACTTCAACTTTTAACCACATTAAATACCATTGCACAAATTCAAAATAGGAATTTGCTGCTATCTCGATCAGAACACTGTTAATTGTTTCATAATTTCCTTCAATTGACATAGCTGAATAAACTCATTATAAAATGAAATATTTATATAAATGTGTACTTTCCATTATTTAAATACAATAAAGACTTTATTGTTCCATGATATTCTCAATAAATGAAAAGGAGATTTTCACCTTCATTGCTAGTTCTTGAAGAAGTACCAATTTGTATCAATCAAATAGTCGCCAGTGGGCAATACGACAGGAATCTGATCTGCTTTGACATGAAGATCCTTAAAATACAACGGTTCCTGGAATACATTCATATTAAACACACAGAGTTAGCTCCGTTACACCCGGATTAAGTACACTCACCACAAAAGGGCAGGAGTGGTTGAAATTGCTACTGTCCCTGAGAAGCTTAAATAGTATGATTACCGTTGGGTGCAGTCGATTTTGATCTTATACAGGCAGGGCGCTCTTGAAGAACTGCAACTCAGTGACCGCATCATTGACTGGATAATGTAGAGTAGCCAAGAAGCTGTATATAATTTTGTTACGATTAATAGCCTTGAGTCGACACGCGTTGATGGTAACCAAGGAGGCATTCTGGGATTCGCAAACGAGATTCGTAAACTTGAAAAAGAGTTATGTCATAGACTCACGTTATAAGAACACAGCAATGTCAGTTGTACGACCACCATACACCTGGGACCCATTGCACTGAAAGACAAATCAATTTCAACTAATATAAACTGATGTTTACTATCATTTGTTTTCCTACTCGCTTGAGCCATTTCAATAATATTACAAAATTGTATTATTTTGTAGTTGTAAATAATAGACTTATTATGAAATGAATAATCGGAGTTGGTATTTTAAATTGTTAACTATTATATGAAAACAGTTAAGACTTCTAAAAGCTAAGATATCATCGGCATTTTTACAATTTTCTCTATAAATATTTTTAAGCATTTATTGATCAATAATATGAATTAGTCCATTTATTTAGAGGCTATCAGCACTCTTATACTGTTTACTATATACCAGAAAATAGACGACTCAAATCAATATACTTTATGTCTATCAAAGCTAACATACCCCTAAATAAAATTATTGATTTCTTTAAAGTATAAGAATTACATTTATAAATAAATAATATTTGAAATTTCTATTTATTTGAAATGCATTAAGTTGGTTCAAAATGATTTATATATTTAATATACAAATATGTGGTCCTTTGGGATAATGTGAGTTTATTTTTAATCTATATAAATTATTGATTTATATATTTATTTTTTTGTAGCGTAAATTTATGTAAATCTGCCTTCGTTGAGGCTACAGGAGAGAGTGAGTGTTGCTTGACATCCTACAGTACATCTACTGTACATCATTGTACAGTTGGCACAAATAGGGCTTGTAACGATAGTCGTAGAAAGCTATCGATAACTAAGGCTATCGTAAATAACTAATCGTTATCTTATATATAATAACTACACATAGTCTATATAGTTTATACTTTGTATAATTATGATATATACTATAAATTGAAGAATACTCACTTCATAGGTTCCGGATTCATCTCAACTTGAGAAGTTCTTGAAGTGCCTGAAAATGAAATGTTGCAGCTTAGGTTTATATAACCATTGACTGTTCTTATCAGCCTATTATCGACAATCCAGTCATTCGCATCCTTAAATGATTTCTTACTTCGCTAAGTAGCTCATCAGTATTGTCAGCAATTCGAGCATCAATCCCTTCTCAATAATATCAAATCAGTTTCACTTTTGGCTACATCATATTTAGGCACATCAAGAAGATCCAGCATCCATAAGATAAAATATTCAAGTTGGTTCAACTATTTGACACTATATTTAGTTATACAATAAATATTCCATGCCAAGCTAATATCAACAATGTCTATAGACCATATTTTTCCTCTATTCAGCACTCTTGATCGGAAAGACGAACTACTCAATCTAGAATCATCCAGAAATCCTAAGATTGTGATAATATATTAAACATTTATCTAGCAAATTAAGCTTAGCATTCTCTATCCTTTCCCATAAATAACAATTTTTACACTATACTTGATATGATATAGAAGACGTTGAGTTTACTCCTCGACTAAGTCCACAGGCCACAGTTTTGGTGTAAGCATCCTGTAGCCATAATTAGCACTTGGCATAGACTTTTTGTTGTTTCAATATTAGCTCTTAGCCGATTCGTCAAGTAGATCAAAAGTTTTCAAAGATTTCCTTTCAATTAGTTGCAACATCGACTGAAATTTAAAAATGGTCTTTCACATAAAGACGAAAGTAATTTTACAGTTAGTGAGACAAACTTATTTTTATAAATACATTTAAACACATAGCAACACTGAACGAACCCGTTTCACCTGAGCTGCTGGAGCTTGTTAACCCGTCTCGTCTTGAGCGGAAATCGAAAATAAAAAGCGACCTTCTCTTGGCCTGTTCTTAAAATGGAATCTGTCACACGCACACAAACATCGACAGACAGCCGGATGCCGTTCCGATATGTGAGTGCCGTTACTTTTCCTTCGGGGCATCAAGCTCAAGGGATTAAAGCAGTGGCTCGATATCAGCTACAAGTAAATATCCAGTTCAAGTGATACAGATCTTTTTAGATGAGGTTAGTTAGTTGCATGCAACAAGCAGAAGAAGGCGTGTCCGAAGGACATAACGACTAACTGAGTCATTCTAGCCTTGTACGTATATCCTTACAACAAGACTTTATATATAAATATATATATTTTCTTGAATATCATTGGTCACCTTATATAACCATATAACAATACATGATGACTTTAAGTAGACTTGTCCTGTGACCCCTCTTGTCGTCTAAATAGGCGTGGATATGGCTTAACTAAATCGTCTATCGATGCTCAGAATGAAAAAACGTTATATTTAATGTTTACTTCCTTCCTACTACGCTTTCAATTTCATACATCTATCTTTGCTAATAAAACTAAGCTTACAAAATCTGAAGTTGTTAAGGCATTTGATTTGAATCGGGCACAATGAAAGATTTATACTTTTGCCTTTCTTCTATACTTTTTACAACGATAAAATTATTTCCTAGATATTCAATATGCGGCCTTCTAATGGGTTTATTTTTATAAAATCCCAAATATAAGTGTGACCAATATAGAAGATTATTAAATATTATCACCTTAAAATTTGAAATTATTATGCATTAAAGGGTATATGCCTCTTTTTGAATGAGATACACAAATGAGGAACATAAAGGCAAAAATGGCCGCAACTTTAAGCTCTACTTAGATGGTGAGAACTTATTAATAAATCACATATAAATATAAATATATATATATATATATATATATATACATATATATACATATATGTATGTACAACTGAGAAAGTAGTTGTTCGTTTAGTTTAGAAAATAGTTTATCATCTCATAGACCCTATAAAAAATTATATGAATTTCTTTAATTTTTATTTTTTTTTATTTTTATTAAAAATGTAAATTCAGAAAATGCGGAATACCATAGTTTTGTAGACCTGTTCTCGTATCGCTGCCTATATATATATATATATATATATAAATATATATAAATATATATATATATATATGGATGCTCAAATAATCTTTTCACTTGTTTACATTTTCCGATGATGCGATTCGATTTGCTTTTCTTTTCTTTTCATTTCATTTAATTTTCTTTCAATTTTCAGCTTGGCTTTGGATTACAAAACTTTATTTGTTGCATTTTGCGTGTACATAGAATGGTTTATAATATTTATATATATTGTTATATATATATTTGGGTCTTTGTGATTTCTTGTGCACAAATCTTCAATCACAAAACAAAACCAAGCAACTATTGATAGCAATATACATATACATATACATATATATATGTACATATATATGGGTGTTATACATATTTATCGTTTACAACTGATTCGCAAGCACATCGAGCGTAGCACATTTTTGGGGAAACATTGTATATATACTGGTGTCAGAAGCAGGCGCTGTATTGGATAAATCGGTTGGTTTGCTCACAATGGGGGGATAGTGAAAGTGTCTGCTAAGAGTGAGATAGATATTTAGGGAGTTATACATTTAAGTATCTTCATATTTTTCACAACAATCAATTTTGGCTAATACATAATATGCTCAGTTTATAAGATTCGTTTGCATAATAAGACGTATTAGGCTCTGTTCGATAATGCGCCATTTACTGTATATTTCGTATTATATTGTGGGTGTATTCATTTTTCTAGGCATATATAAATATATATATATATATATATATATATATATATATAAATATATATATATATATATATATATATATATATATATATATATAAATATATATATATATATATATATGTATGTATCCAATATTGCGATAAGCAAGCAATTTTGATCTTTTTTTTTTTGGTTTTTTTTATTACATGTCTAAAATTTCGATACACAGAAAAATATTATGCGCCTATGATCTGATGGAAAAACATTTCTTTTTCGCATTGTTTTTTTGTTTGTTTTTTGAATTCTTTGAATTTTGTTTTTAATTTTTCTTTTGGGTATTTGTATCGCTTTTGTTTTGATGTTTTCTTTTTCATGTTGTTTTATCGGGTCATTGCCGCAGAGCGACGCAGATATTTATAGATGCTGGTTGTAGTTGAGCTGAAAGATGGTCCTGACAGCGTGACCCATGTCTGCTTTAAACTCGCTTTCACCCTTCCACCAAAGAACCGAACCGTTTCCATTTACTGATCCTCATCGCCGAGCTCGTGCTTAATTTTGGAGAAGTCAAACGTCTCGCCAGTACCACGCTTAAAAATGTTTAGAACATCCAGGCAAGTGGTCTCGAAATGCGTAGTGGCATCATACGATTCCGAGATAAAGATCTGTGAGTCGAGCCCATTGTCGATTGGCTCCAAGTAATCGGAAATGGTGACAAACTTTTGTGCAATCGGCTCTAGCAGATCGAGGCCAGGCTTGATTTCCACTTCCGGGTTCTCAGTCTCCACTGTAGTCGAGACCATGCCCACAAACCAGCCCTTGGCGGCCACCTGGTGAGTGGAGCTGACCAGCGATACATAAATGTCTGATTTGCGACCAACTTGCTTTTGTGGAATGATAATTTGAGTGGAGAGGCCATCCTTAGTGCTTGCCACCGGATGGTCCAAGATGCAAATGCATCGGATAACCTTGCCACGCTTGCGCACCTGTTTAAAAAAATGCATCATAGAATTTATAGATGCTCGCTAGAAGACTAACTTACCTTTTCGGGCACGTAGCTGGGATCGCAGTACACCTGCTTGCATTTGGCGATTTCTTCGCCTGATCGCACGCCCACCACCTTGCCGCCTTCGCCCAGCACAATCTCGTCAATTGGCTTGTCCAGCATGTAAGTGCCGCCATAGATGGCCGAGAGACGGGCAAAGCCCTGTGGCAACTCGCCCAATCCGTACATCGGATATAGATAGGGCGACTTGCCATATCTCGCCAGCGAATCCGAATATAGTTTGATTCGTCGTATGGTGTTGACAGCCGGCTCGTTCAAATACTCATCATCACGGAACAGGGCCAGGGCATGGCCCGTAAAGTCCTGCGTATTCTTGTCCAGACCGAACTTATCGTACAGTCCCTGCATGTTGGCCTTAGTGGGATCAAAGTCCTTCCAGGTCTTTGGATCATCCTCTCTGAAGTCCTGCACGTAGATCAGGAAATTGCGGAAGCGTCGCTTCTCGAACATACCTGCAGCATAAACAAACCAAATGAATAGACGCTTCAGCTTGGAGGAGGACAACAACTTTGGATATATCGGGAAATTAGGGTTAGATACCCTGATGACTGATAACCTAAAGGCTCTCAACTCCTAATAGAGATCACGACAGTTATTCAGAAATCGATTGAGGATATACAAAAGAATAGAAGAACAATATAAATGTATATAAATCACAACTATGTTCAAGTAATGATTGAATTTAAATAACTAATCCAATATACTCTTTTCATTTGATGAGCGAGCAGCAAGTTATCTTAACTGAATCTTTATTGACAGCAAATGTGGGGCAGCTTTAACGTCTTTATAACATTCTAAATATCTCGCAAACAGAATAGCGTTCGTTAGGAGTATTTCAGTAGCAGATAGTCGGAAGCACTTTCTAATTAGCATAATTAAGTTCCACTTTTATAAATAAAACATGGAAAAAGGTAGATTTGACATTAACTGAAGTTACAGTAGTTATAGAAGGGTCTGGGTTAGATAGGGTCGGTTGTTGATTCCGACCAAGACCTTAAAATTTTTAATGGGGTAGCAAGTACATACATTAACAAAAGAAACCCATAATACATACATACATACATACATACATGAATATGAGTATTGCGTTCTGCCTTTAAAGTTGTCATACATCAACTCGGACGTACAATTGAAAGTGCTAATTTAAGGGCTAAAACACCACCAGCAAGTCGAATGACGTCATTCTGTCATGAAGGCTCTATATGAAGGGTTCAATGCACCTTGCGAGCCTGCTCTTTATGGCCAACTAACAAAATTGGCAACTAAAATAAATGGAGGAGAAATTTGTTGCTTCGGCTATTGCTATTGGGGAAATAAACAAATATAAAACAAAAGAAAAAATTAGAGACAGTCATAAATGGAGCGTGATTGGCTAATTGCGTTTTGAGTTGGCCACTAGTAATTGTTTAAACAATTTCATGCCAAAATAAAAACCTGAACAGCCGCAACAACAGCAACAATAACCACACAACCACAACCACAGAGGTGTATAAAAATGAATCAGCGCAACGGTTAATTGCATGAAAGGTATGCACAGGGTTGCCACACAGCGCATGGCAAACAGCTGGCAACTCCACAATTCTAATTGGAATACATATATACATATATATTTAAGCGTATGGATATGGGTTTCGATGTGCTCTGAGACGGACAAATAACTATATTTTCTAGTACTTTCTATATGCTGTTAAGGGCAGAGAAACGAAACATACAACTATTTGTTAAAAGGGGGCAGCAAACAGGAAAAAAATGGGAGGCTTTAAATGCTGAGACACAAACATACATACGCATAGAACACAGAGAGAGACCCTCTACAAATACGTGTCACAGTCAGAGCAGTCAAAAGCAACACCAGCGAGTGCCAATCGCCGAAAGCGAGCTGAGACAAAGAAACATGGAGAGAGAGAAAACGGAAAAGGGGAGCGCGCAGATAAATGCGAAGTATGTATATGTACATACATACATACAATTTTTCGCATGTACTTTCTGCTTTCACAGTTAAAGGTCCACTTGGGTAGTTGCCTTCAGATTTATGTCTTTCGTTGTAATACAACTTGCACTTACCCATGAGATCGGATGCCAGAGCTTCCTTCTGATCCACCGGCACTTTTGCAATTTTTCCACCCTTGTAAACGTAACTGCCCTCAATCGACTTGAACTCCAGATAACGGGTGACGCCCGTGTGTATCAGAAGTTTCACTAATTGGCCATTGGCCATTAGAAACTTGGGGATCAAGTCCACGTTCCAGTCGCGGCCACGCCCAAATTTCTCGCCTGGCGCCTCCAGTCCATACCGTTGGAAGAGCTCCTCCAGCGGCGTAATAGAAGCCGACTCGCCGCCATAGTATTTGTTGCGATCAATATGCAGAACTTTCTTTCCCGAAACAGAAAGCATGCCGCTTAATATGCACTCCTTAAGGCCAGTGCCGAGAACTATTGCATCGTATTCCTCATTCATGTTAGCGTTTTTTATTAGTATGCAGCAGCAACTCTTCTTAAAATTTTAAGGTTTTCACTTTGCGACGTTGTCGACGTTTTTACACTTTTCGTTTAATACAATTTTCTCTACTCGTTTGAAAATGCCAAAAACTTATTTTACCTTCGGCGGATTTCAGTATTTCTTGGAGCTGGCCCTACTGCATAGAACAGCTGTTAACTTAACAGAATATGGGATTCGCTGATTTATGAAGCGTTCTGTTGAATGTGCTAAGGAGACGTTTAAACAAGCTATCGGTCTTGACGTACATCCTTCGGTTGGCGCGTACTTAAAACATTAAGAATTTATATAGCTGAAACTATCTGTAAAAACAAAAACAATAAAATTAACAAAAAAAAAAATATGGACAAGACGTGTACTGTGTAAATGCTTAGTAAGTGTGTGGAAATATATATTTTTTCATGTGACATACTCTGTTTTGAAAAATTTATAATTTAAATCATATTGTCAGCTGAATATTTTTATACAATTCGAAAAATCAAGTAACAATCATTTTATAGATATGAAAATTAATATTATTATAAATTCTAATCTTTAAACTGTATCATTATTTTGTTAACAGCAATCCCAAAAGCGAGTAATTGTGTTGCAATATATCGATATTTTTACCAATGCATCGATTATTTGAACCAAAGTACATCGATAGCAGTAGTTTTGGTCAGTCAAAAAAAAAACATTGAGCGGAATGGACGCGTTTGTTGTTATTTTTTAGTTCTTACATTTCTGTCGTCGTTTGTTGTTTTCTTATGTTGCCGAAGATATAAATAATTTTCTGCGAATAAATTACACGTTGCAATGTAAATGGTTATGAGTTTTAATCAAAAGTTATAATAAAAATATCAAACTACTGATTGTGTGTGTGTGTGCATGTGTGTGCATGTGTTTGTGTGAGTGTGTGACTATTAAGCGTGTTTCGCGTTGTTTGTGAAAAAAGTGAAAATGAGATTTGGGCCAAAATTGTATTTAAATTCTTAACGCCAACAACAGCGATCGAGTCAGTTAAGAAATATATGTACATACGTGTTATATGAGCCAGGCAAAGAAAAAAGTGAGCGGTTTGTTCGCGCTGCGTTGCGTGTTATTTGTTTGTGGTGCGACGAAAGTATTAAGAGGCGCCTCTCAAAACCATAATTAAATTTATTAATTGAAAAAATTGTTTCTAATGAAATTTTACGCCAATTTCAAGGAATTAACGTCGGCGCTTCTGTTCGTGTTTTTCATTATGTTGCTCTGGCTCTAGCTGTTGCATTTGTTCTTCTTATTGCTGTTGTTGACCTCGGCTATGATTTGTTGTTGCTATGCTCAAAATTTTGTCTCATTTTCATAATAAAAATAGCAAATATATGTATATAAATAATTAATGTGTATACAAATTGTGATTGTAAAGAAATAAAAATAAATAAATAAAAAATATATATTTATAAATAAAATCAATTAAAAAGTGACTTAAACAATTAGCATATCAACATTCATTCATCAAGATTCATTTGTTTTCACTGGGTAAGTTTCGAAAAACAAAACAAGTTTTTATATTCCATTTGCTAAATTAAACTTATTTTATTGCACTGTACGGTAAAGGCAGCAGCGCAAAAACCGACTTACAAAACGAGTTAGTTGCTTAGAACCAGTTCCACAGTCGCTCAGTCTCAGTCTCAGCCTCAGCCTCCGCAGCTTCTCTCGCTGAATCGCCATTTGTGGCCTACGCGAACTCAGCTTTGTGTACATTGTTCGCAACACGGTCTCATCTACTTTGTTACCTACCTCTTCAGCAAGCAGTCGATCAAAGCCCAACAAATTCCCATCCCCATTTCCTCTTATACGCTGTTGCCATAGCCGTATAAGACAGAATTTCCCTACGGCGAAAGTAACTTCAGCAAAATAGATTTGACTGAATCAATATGCCCATCTGTATCTGTCAGTCATATAAGGGTAACACGCTACCAAATTTGGTATTTATTTAATAAACTTCCAATTAAGTTCACAATGTGTTCGAAATAGGAAATGGAATCTTCCATTGCTAGTATGAGCCGCGTTTGTGATCCTAAGAATGAGCGTGTCCTGTCTGCAGTTGCATGCCACGAAGCACAAATAACTTGGCACGAGAGTTTTTGTCTTTGAGCAAATGTCAATTTCTTGGAAAGCAATAACAAACTATATGGCTAAAACGCTGCCCGCTTAGAAATTAGAAATTCCATACAAGACGCCTTTTTTGCCCGTATAACGATAGAATTTATTGCCAATAATGGAATTCTTATGCAGTCTGCTTTGAGATACAAATTAATTTTTAATTATTCGCATTGTTATACAACTCCAATTCAAATGATTGCAACGACAAATAATCCGAGTGAATTAAGAATGAAGATAAGCGAATAGAATTTAGTTGAGTTTACGCAGACGTAATCAGTGCTCTCTTTGCTCTGTTCAATGCAGAAGCACGTTTGCAGTTCATTTCACATTCCAAATACTTTTTTGTTTCAGTCTGACCATCTGCACATTAAGAAGATGTCTCTCTCTCTCTCTGTTTTTTTTTTTTTTTGCATTTGCGGCTCTATCCATCTTTGGCTGTGCAATCTACTCTACGTTATCGCATTCTCCCTCTCTCTCGTTCACTGTACGCGTGGCCCCGGCAACTGTAAACGTGGCGCTGCCAATTGACTCCAATTGCCGCTGCAGCAGCAGCAGCACACGACAGCCGCCGATACAAACACACACACACATACACACATATATGTATGTATAAATAGAGATGGTTAGAAGCGATACAGAGCTCGCACTCGTTCCGTTATCTGCCTTTCCCAAGAGCGCGCGTAGTTTTAACGACTGTAATTATTTGTATTATTCGTCAATTTGAAGTTCGCTTTGCTTACCAGATAAATACCAAAATAAACAAATACAAATTGAACCCGGCATTTAATGTATTTGTATTTTGCATTCATTTTGGCGCGCTACTAACACCTCATCACAAACGATCTATTTACCTTTCTGCTTACTGAAATAACGTTGATTGACAGTGCACCATGGGCACATGCTATATCAAAGCACATATACTGAAATTGATTAGAGTATTATGATCTTAATAGATAGAATATTATTAATGTTTTATCAACTATAAATAAAAGCAAAGTTCTCTCAGAAAAGTAATCTTACAAAGTTAAAAAACGCTACTGTAAGAACTTTATGAAATCTTAAATATATTATATTTTTAGAAAACTAATTTGTTTTCCCTGTTCTTAAACTACTAATGATTAGCCAATACATATAGTTAATTGAAATCTGTATACCGGTACACTTGTTAGGTAATTTTGAATGTATTGAAGCTAGATAACCCACCTGGAACGAATGATACGTGTCTGACATTTCACGCGAATTCCCTTATCTAAAATGTTTTTCTGAATTTCACATGTGTGTGTTTTATTCCACACCGAAACGACGTCGTAAACCCTGAACTTACGCTTTTATTGAAATATTACACTCCCGCACTTTATGCCATTGCAATTAGAGTCAAATTAATTATTCAACAGATAGTGTATTCAATGATCTGATAGTCAGCCGACTTGTCTAGTCCATATTTACATATCATTACTAATATCATTAGTCTAGTTCCTAAACAGTTGACAGAGTACGGCTAGTCTGAATTGCTGCATTTTATACTCGTTCATTGAGTGAAAGGAGTATATTGGTTTTAGGCAATGTCCGTCAGTCCATACGAATGAAAGCCTTTTGTAACTAAAGACTTGAAGTTTAGAATATGTGCTCGTGTAGACAACCCAAGACCAAAAGTATACCTTACTGTAGATTGCTTCCTAAGATTGACCAAAAATTATACTTCAGTTTCTTCAGTTTTACTGCTCGGAACTAGAAAAAATATTTAAGTTACTCTCGACAGCCTCTATTCATTCAATAAAAGTGATATATATTTATGGGTCTTTGAGGGTGTGGCAAATCGGAAGCAACGTTATCTTCCTTAGCTTTGTAGTTAAAGCTCCAAAATATAATGGTTAGGTCACTGCAGACTCCCTCTTATAATTTACTAAATATGATTTGATTGTTTTTGGACCTGAGGCGAGTATTATGCAGTCCTTGGACATTCCGATAGCAACATTCTTACTCAGTTTTTTGTATAAGAGAAACCTTTATAGAGACTCCAATTGTTTGAAAGTATTTAGATCATCTATAATATTAAAAAATATAAATAATATCTCAAAGCCGATTTTTAAGCATTTTTAAAAATTATTTTTTAGTAGTAAACATGCAAAAATTGCGTGTACACAACTATCAAATACCCTGTAGCTGCAGCAGTAATTGATGTTTCTCTATTTCTATAAACAATGCTGCTAATGTTGTCTTTGAATGCTTCTTATAGTTGAATATGTCTTTAGCATACACTAGTCAAAAAAATATGATGAAATTCAGTAACCAAGAATTAGACTGTACCAATATTTTGTGATGTGCTAAATATGATTCTGAAATCCTATTACAAACTGGGGTTAGTCCTCTTGTTTAATAAACCCTTTTGGCTTATGTCAAATATTGACTGCAATCGGTCAAAAGTAATTGCATTTAATAGTCATTAAATCCGCGTTTGCATGATGGTTCTTGATGCTGGTATATTTTGTTTATACTGTCATTATATTATATAGTACATATAACGTTTAAATATATCAACTTAATGAGCAACGAATCGTGATAACCGCGCACCCTTTGCTGTTAAGTCGAAAGTGGCGAAAACTCAACTTTGAAAACTTTTGCCGCTAGCTTTATATATATATATATATATATATATATATATATATATATATATATATATATATATATATATATATATATATATATGTGAAGTTCATTAATGGCTATATGTAGATATATACGAACCACTCACATCCGTTTTTTTGTATATCTCGTTCAAGTATCCGGTTAGTTTTTGCCAAACAAGATTAATTGCCGCAGCTAAATCACAAGATTTACTTTTCAAATTTTTGCTGCAAACGTCGTTCGTCTGACGGATCTGCTTATAGCAGCATACTTTTTGCATTTTACTTAACTTAATCTCGCTTTTATCGAAATAACATTTACTCAAAAGCCGTTAGATTTATCGCAGCATGAAATGAAATAAATATGCCAAAACCAAATTGGGCTTCGATCAATCATCGGTGTGGATACTTAGCATATTCTTTGAAAGGTGAAGAATTTATATTTATATAAAGTAAGTATAAAGTAAAAAGTAAAGCAAGTAAAAGTACTCTATAAGGAAATGTCCGATTAAGAAATACCCTGAAAGCCATGTATGGGAAAAACTGAACTTTATTCAGAATTTGATTTCCTTTAGAAAGAACAACAAACGAACTTAACAGATTTTTGCACAGATATAAACAGATGTATTAATTTATATTATATAATAGCTTAATGCAGTGTAGATAGTATTCCGTGAGAGATGAGATATCACAGGACTTCAGTTACTTCAGTGTTTGAGTAGGTATTGAGATTATCTAAAATGAATATCATTGCCATTGATGGGCTAATAGCTAATCATTGTATCCGAACCACACTTAAAACCAATTAATATCCAAATCTCAATTGCACGAATAAGCCTATTTAATACTGTGTTTTCCGGCAATAAGTAAATATGGCCTTAAGGCTTATTAGCAAAGAATCGAATCGAAATAATTGAATTAATTTCTATATTAATTAATTGGGGCCGCTCTCGACCAGCTTAACTGGCCCACAATCTCACGCAGCGTTCAGCGACAGTCCACTGAACGAGTGTTGGCTGACGGACCCCCGCCTACAAAGCCGTTCGTATCAGCCGTTATTTATTAGTCGTGCAACTTTTGTGTTCGCGTTCCGTAGTTTTGCCTGCCTGGGAGGTTCTCACGCGCCCATAGAGAAGTTATTCCCATGCTCTGTCGCATGCGACACCTCGCAGAATTACTCCATTGTGCCTGTGCCTGTGTGTGTGGGTGGCAATTCTGTATTCATTATTTTGCTATCGACAATTAATGGAGTGAGATATATAAGTGTGTATATGTGCCTAACATTAATTTGTCACAGTTGACAGATAGGTTTATTTTTTATTTATATTTAATTCATTTTAAATTCGTAATTGAATATTAAGTATATAGATTAGTTAGTTATCTAACAATGAATCTGTGGAATGTCAAACTCTAATCAAACTTTTAATTTTAACATTGATTATTAGAATATTGTCATGTTTATGTGTGTTAATGACTTATCAAATATTTTATATTTTAACTAGTCTTGAGTTGAGTTAATTACACAGCTCTACAGGGTATTTGTTTTGCTTATGCTTATCTTTAGCATATCTGCTACTTGAACTTGGACTTCTATAAACTATATCGCAGCAATAGCAACAGAAAAGTGATATTTATGTCCACAGTCGCCTATAAGTAATGTTTATTTTTACTGCTTTATATGTATACAGTATGCCCTCCCTATCTAGGAGGGAATGATACTGTGTCATGAATGTTGTTTATTTAAAATAT